AATCAATGGGTGACATAATTACTTTTCCTTCAGCTATTCCCACCAGTTTAAATGGAGAATAGTGGCCTTTAAAGACAGGGAAGCTGCTCTATGTGCTGGGAGCTTTGTAGGTGTGAGATTGTTTCCTGTAAAACAAGAGATGAAGTTGGCCCAAACAAGTGGAACTTAACCTGGAAAGGAAAATTCGATTACTCTTGTAGATCATGCAGTAATAAAGGCGTCTTTTGGAGGCTGAGGGCTTTCTTCAGCGCTATACTTACATTCTCCCTTTAAAATACCATTTCTCTGACAGCCAGCAAACCTCCAAATTGATCCGATTACCCATATCTTTGATATAAGGCTCTTAAATTTCAATTCTGTTGCTGAATCTGTATAAAGATTGCCTTGATGCATCTTTGTTTTCATAGCAAGGTTCTGCAATTAAAAATACAATTCTAACAGTTCTGTTTGGCAACAGTTTTGTTAACATGAAAACCGAGACGCTCGCTCCTGTGCAGGGATACCAACAACATGGGTGAGGTGCTAGTAACGTTTTAAGTGAGAAAGCTCATACAGAAATGCTCTTTTCCATTTGAAGAGCCCACAGACTGTAATTTTAGTTGTGGTGGCTGAACAAGTGTAACAGATATCCAGATGGTGTAAAAACAATAAATAAATAACATCTGACCTTGATTGTCTCTATAGAAACTTGCATATACCAGCAGATATATCTTCCTTCTCTGGCTGTGGAATGCAGGAGCTCAAACGCTGGAGATCCACAGGATCCTTTGATATTAAGTCTGTGAAATATGTTTATATATATATATAAAATATAATATAAATGTCTGTAAAAATGTCAGCTTTTATCATGAATGGATGGTAGGAAAAAATGTAGCATAAAACCTCATGTATTTGTGGAATTCAGACCTTGTAACTTACACAGTCTTTATAGCTGTAACATTGTCAACCAGGGAAAGATGATTAAGCTATTTACACCAATGTAGTTGAAACTACAAACCAATGTAGTGAAAACTATAAAATTTTAGTATACCTATATACTTGTCTCTTTTCTGATGCTGATACAAAGTCTATTAGCGGATATACCAGAACAGATACTTATAGCCTGGCACTTTGGTATATTTTCATTGAGATCCTGCATTTAGCTCCTGAGAGGTCTTTAACCATGGCTGCCTCCTGACATTTTCAATACTGCAATTAATAATAAATCTTTTTTGTTATTGCAAGTTTATTGATATAAAAGATTACCGACATAGAACACAGTCAGGTGACAAACTTTATTTTTAAGCTTTGCAATTCAAAGCACTCCTAAGGAAGCACATATAGGAGGCTGGGGTCCCTTGTCTCTTCATCTCCTTCCCACCATTTGTCAGCTTGCATGTTTGACAGCTTTTTTGCCTCTGAATAGTCAGTATTTTTCTACCCATGTGATTGTTTTCATGCTTCAAGAGGACACATTTGTATTTAAGACTAGAATATGAATATGTATTTCAAGGCTAGAGCAAAACTAGTTCCAAATTTTTTAGAGCAAAGCTAGTAGTTTGTGTCAGTTACCTCCTAAATGTTCTAAAAGTCCCTTTAATGTAGCTTTAAGTCTGAGTCGAATTGACCACCTAAAAATATTTCCATAGCCTGGTTTCAGCTACCAAATACGATAAATGTCTCTGTTTTGCCTCCCCAGGAAATAAACAAAACAGCTTTTGATACTGCATGTCTTAAAAACAAGCCTATTGTGAAAAAGGATATAGTTAATATAAGGCAGAAGTGTCCTTAGATGCCAGAAGATTTAATATGTAGGATAAACCTAGTTACAGTTATTTTAGATGAAATTGGTTTGTTCTTGAAAACAATTTCAGCTTCATCTGTTTATGTCCAGTTTAAAATGAAACTAGCAAGTGTTACAAAGATGATATATAAAATGTGATGTCTGTGATCAAGTACACTTGATCCCAAATGCAAAGTGCCTAAGGGAAATGGAAGAGTCAAGCTTAGATTAAGTCTCTCCAGTGATCCTTTATAAAACTGAATACTTTGTGCCCCGTCTTCATGTGATAGACTCTACCCCATGTTTTTGAGAGATTCTTCCACCTCAGTTCTCCCTCTCCCTTCCCCACTCCCCATTTGGCATTCAAAGTAAAATCAAACACCAAAATGGGGATGCCTAGGAAAAACTCTGTGAAGAATGACAATTTTAAAATGACAGCTAAGATCCTTCCAGAAATAAGGCAAATGTTAACTGCATAAGGAGGTAAAAATGCCTTCCCACTTGAGCAATGGCACTTGGAATCTGTTGCTGATTTAAATCTGATGGTTTCTCTAATTTTTCTGGAAGATTGTTAGTCAGGATAATTTCTGAGACAAAAAGCAGCTACTTAAAGCTGCTTGTTGTTCTGCAGTGTTGGTTCAGGTTCTGTATAGCAAGTTCTAGACCAAAATACAACTGAGATAGTCAAGGGTACCTGTTCAAGGCAGTTTTTCATGTGGCTGGGATGCTAATGATATAGCACATAAGCATGTTTAAAAATAAAAAAGTTACCCAACGACATCAACTGCAATGTGTCAGAATTTGCAGGTGCATTTGAAGATGAAGGAGTTGGAACTCTAGTGAAGATATTTTATCATGGGTCCTGATGTGCTGTAGTAATGCCAAGTACAAGCTGTGATCCTGATGGAACAGCTGCAATTTCAACAGCTGTAGTGATGTTCTGATTAAACAAAACATTTTGAGGATGTTTTGGTTTAACTTAGTCTAAAGTTTTGTGCCACAGCATAAGAAAATTTAAGGAAGAATTGTGAAGTGGTGATTTTTACTTACTGGAGAGGAAGTTATGAATACACTAAATTTAGAACATCAGAGCTGTGACAAGAGATACTGGGCTGATACAAAGAGATAATTTGCTTCATTTCTAATAAATGATGAAACTGCCTATAGATGTTTTTTATTTGTAAATGTGTCCATCTGGTTTTCTGGAATTACACTGTTACCAAATAGGAATCAGATCCTAAAATGCATAAGCCCATGACTGGCAAAGTCTGGTCGTTGCCTGTGATTTTCAGCTTCTTTCGTGATTTCCTCCTTATGATAATACTGTGCTTTGGAAAGTTTTATCACACCCAAAGGCCTGCAGCTTGAAACATACTGAGGTAATTCATGCGTATGATGCCAAGTCATAGCATTACGTATAAAACACTTTCCAGTTATTCAGTAGGGAAATAATGTTTCCTCTGTCCAATGGGGGATAATAATTTTACTCTCTTGCCAGTTGCACATATTATTCATTGAAAATATTTTGCCCAGTGGGACATGGAAGCAATTAATTTGGTTCTTGCTCTGTCTGGAATATTATTTTGTTAAGAGTTACTGAAAGGTTTTCTCAAAACTTTTTAAAGTTATTAGCCCGCCATTAAGAAGTTTGCCTTTAATTGCTCATTCAGAAATCCCATAGGAGCCTTTTATTTTTTTTTTTAAGTTACTTTTTAAAAAGATGGCTAAATTGAGTAATACAATTTCTATCTTCCCTATGGTGTCTGTGTTTTCATATAGTCATTTGGTTTTACTGAGCATGTTCATTTTCCTCATAATAAAACAGGGAACCCAAGATTAGATGATTTCTCAAAATCTCTCCCACTTTTATTGCAAAGGCCCAAGGCAACTGGTTTATTTCTGACAAAATTGTTCTGAAAAGTTCCAGTGAGAGATGTTCAATGGCACTCAATGCCATTTATTGTCATGCTTCACTACTCTTACCGGTAAAGTAATTTCATCGTGCTTTGATTCAGTTTCCTTTCCTGCAACTAGGTTTATCGCTTCTCACCCTATCTCCTGAAGACACAGAGGAAGGTTTATTCTCTTGTCTACCACAACCTTTTCCCCTTTGAAGAAAGTGTCCCTTGTAGGTTTTGCTTCTCTGGATAAAATAAACTAAATATTTTCAGTCTTTTCTCCTTGTCATGTTTTAGACTACTGATCATTATTGTTGTGTTCTCATCAAGAAGAATGATGTTCAAAACAAGACACAGTCTCCCTAGTCCCTAGTTTTACAGACTGTGCTCTGGTGTATGTGTCAGTATGTTTACATTTTTTTTACTCAATACTGTTGACTTGAATCCAGCTTGTGTTCTGCTGTGCCTTCTGAATCTGCTTTAATAACAGTCATCATTCATCTACATCTGTATATTTGGTTCCTCGTGTTTGTCTATCAGTTTTTTAATTTCTGATAACTCTGGTTTTCTAAGCTCACTCTGGTTTCTGTTTGGATGCTGGTATACCTGCAGCCCTTCCCAGCTTCATATATCATTATTGTATCTTAGCAGACAAATGCAGCCTAAATCTGAATGAGTCAACTTGTAGCTGTAGCTATGGAACAGAACACAGGAATTGAGCATACTGCTCATGTGGGTCTGCATATATTTTCATGCTTGATTTGTGGGTCTACATCTCATTTTACTGTTCACAAAGTACATAGCTCTTGTTCCATACATTTCTTGCATTTTACTTCTTAAAGTTCCACTTCCTTCACTTGCCAGGAGGTTGAACAATATAACCCAAATTCTGCTCAGGTTGCCCATTTGTATAATTGTATGGGATGTGGTGGACTTGGGGTATGCCAGAGCAAGTCTGAACCCAGATTTGCTCTTTAATGTATATGCATTTTTTCAAGTATGTCACTATTGTATTTTAGCTTGCGGTAGAGGTATCTGGAAATTGAGCTTACAAGCCTGATGAATGCAGAAAGGTTTGATTCTCTTTTCATGGGTAAGCTCTGTTCCCATTTGCCCCAAAGCAAGTGCTCCAGTCAAGTGTTAGAAGTGAGCCAAAGGCTTGGCAACCAAATAGTCGTATTGCTCTTTATTAGTTCAGGTTTCAATAGGCACAAATGAAATCCTCCCATGCATACAATTCCAAAGGGAACTGCTATGCCACAAATAGGTGACTATACATTATGTTTCACCATAACTTAGTTTATTTAAAACAGATTTTATATTGAAGCACTCTGAGTCACATTTTAGTTTCAATCCCATGAGGAAAGCTTCAGCTATATAAGGTAAAGTGGTGGGTGCATTCAGGATGCATCACTTCCTTTTAAGAGATGATGGATTAAACTCTGGACACATCAGATGCTGCTTTATCCTCACTGCTTATTATGTTTCTTCTGTGGAAGTATTGCAGATAAATAGGGACCTGATTTCATATTAGTTGGCTTCTGAGAGTATGATCTCTGGCTGATGCCCACCTCTCAGCTGCTTCTAAATACTTGCTGGACTCCCACTGTACTCCTTTCCATTGCTTGCCATATTTCTGTAATCGAGAATGCTATGCATAAGTAAGAGCAAATTTATGATATCAGCATTTGTCTTGCATGTATTTTAGTACCCACCAGATGTGTAATATCTTCCAAAACATCTTCTCTCTAGTATTTCTCCTGTCATTCTGCAACGGTGTTTGCCAAGCTCCATGCATAGCTCTCCAGGCTGCTTCTCTTCATCCTCACCAGCACCAAAACCCCTTCACTCTCTGTAAGGAGGGAAAGAAAATGTTTCCTGTGGATCCTGTTGCAGGAAGAGAAAGTTTAACAAAACAGTGCTCTCATCTTTTTCCCAGGCTGTGATAACTAGCCAGTGAGATGATATTGTAGTTATGGGGCCAAAGTCATGCAAGGAACATTGAAAGAGTATGTGAAGTATTATAGCAGCCAAAGCAGAGATGTAAGTACACTGTATGTTTATTTAAAAGATTTCATTTTTTTTAGAAGGGTTTATCTAACATAAACTGAAGCTCTCAAGAGTCTCATTATTCATATTTTCTCCAGAGCTTCCTCCTACTTATATTTATAATGATGGGAATAAGTTGGAATTCAAATTGTATTGACTTTATTCGTAGAAAAAGACCATAGAAGGCGATGACAAATGTGCCGTTCATTGCAAGAATAATATCCAGTGGTTCTGAAGACATTTATATTCTCCTCCTGTTTGAAATCTGTAGACTTTAGTACTTTGATAAATGTTCAAATGAAATACTGAAGTGAGAAAGCTGTAGCATCCCAAAAGACATAAAACATGGAGTATTTTTGCCTAAAACTCTATTACCATTGCTTACTTTGTGGCCAAAGTATTCTTTGCCAACATTGGTCAGGCTGCTCTGCTAGCTGCTCTCTAGAAAAGTGGTGAAGCAGTGCCTTTCTTCTCTTCTTCCACAGTCTCCAGTCTCAAACAGGAGATATCTCAAACTTGTTCTCTAGAAACAAGGTAATTTTAACTCCTCAAACTTTAATCAGCAGTCCACAAACAGCACGCTTTTGCCGAATAACTACCACACACAGTGGTAACCTCTACTAATAAATTTCTGTTTGCAGATCCCAGCCACAGATTGCATTGCCTAGCAGTTCACAAGCCAGTACTGTCAGTAATCATTTCATGCTTATGTAGTGCTGCTGTCCCTGCACAAGACTGGGATATACATTCACAGAGTTGTCAACTCTTCCTCCTCCTGAAAAATCATAGCCAGGTAGATCCGTGGGAGAAAGGAAGTACTGTTCCACCCATCTTATAGAAGGAAATTGAAGTATAAAGACATGTGACTTAACAATAACAGCTGGAAATAGTCCAGACATTACATGCTACAGTCTTGACTCTAAAGGATGAGACTTCATTAAGATTCTTATTCCTCGCTGATGTGAGGCTCATATACCCAGACTACAATGAGCTACAAGATGTGGCATGCTTCTCACAAATAATGGTGTGCATCTTGGAAAGAGAAAATATAGCTTGTGCACTTTCCCTTGATTTTTGAAAGGATTACTATAGATCAATTTGTACCTGAGCAACTCTTCATTCACAATTGCCTTAGTACGAAGTAAAGACATCAATCAGTCTAACAATAAGTTGAATTATCTAGCTCATCTCTATTTGATTAAAAAAAACCAACCCAACCCATCAAAAACCTCTCTTGAGAGTTTTTTTTACATTCTTTGGTGTACGTAGCATGACCAAAAAGAATTGATCAAAATGTTCCTGTGAGTACTTTTAAAAAGAGCCAATTCTGTTTATTTGTAGTTAGAACACTGCTTGTAGGTCACAAAAATTCTTGCTCAAGGCTTTTCAAAAACGTTTCTGAAATCTGTAGTCTTTCATCATTAAGCAGCTAGTGCCTGAAACCAAAAGGTTTCTATGAGAGCTCCATTAGGAATGACTGCACATACACATTAGAATTTTTTCAGAATTCTTAAAATAACTATGAAAGAGTAGATGTTAAGATGGTCTGATCTATGAAAATCGGTTAAATTTTGTTTGTAGTCCTGTAATTTAACCCCAAATTCTGCCTTTGTGAGAGGAGATGAATAACTAACAAAACATTTGTGTACTAACATTTTTTTTTAAAAATAGGCCAAAAAATGGCAAGCCAAATTGCCAGTCTGGGAGCTTTTGACCAGTTACTGCTGGAGTCTTGCAGGCTTACTGTGTTATTTGGTTAGGATGGATGTGGCTGCTAATTTGTTCCATGATGTTCATTTCAGTGTAGAAAGTCATTTAAGGCTAGGCAGAATATTGTTATTATACACACAAGCCTTTTACTTTCACTATTACAAACATCACACAAATATATGACAACTTGATGCTGTAATACAAACTCTTCTCTGTAAATTTGCTATCAACACTGGTTTTAGCAGTGCCTCCAGTCTGTCGCATCTTATAGCTTCCTTCTAGAAACAAAATCAAAGCAGACAACATAGGCTTTTCAGGATGCTGAAGCAATGCTAGGGTTTTACTGTGTGCCATTAATCACCCAAGACAGCAGACCTTGAGAATATTTTCTGCTTGTGTTGTCTACCCAAATAAAAGAACATAACTTCAGCAACAACTTCATTTGAGTTTGACAGTGATGCATTGTCCAGAATTACAAACAAGAGTTGGTTTTAAGTAGGTCTTTGTTCTTCAGTTCTGGCTAGATCTTATTCTTAAAAAACAAATCTAACTGAAATATAAAGTCTGCTGTTTAGACTTTATTTCTATTACCTAAGATTGTGCTTAGCAGTACTTGAGATAAACTGCAAATGTTTCTCTTCAAAATTAGCATCCACAAACTGTGCTGAGGAAAACTGAAACTGTTGCTTTGCTTTCAGCACTTTTCTACAATATTGGTTTAGTGTATTCTTCCACACCCAGTAGCATTTAAGTTAATGAGTGAATGTTTGAAGCTAATCTCTTGCCACCCTTGATTTGGATGTAGTTCTAGAGCATTAGAACTGTATTCCCTTATGGTAAAACCTAAACAGGATGTTTAGGTTTACAAGTTCATCTAGTGTTACACAGTACTAGAGTCCTGAAGCATATGCAGCGTGGTTATCAGAATGAATTCCAGTGCCGAGGATCTAAGCTCTATATTTCATTAAATGCAATTTTATAGCTAGAGCAGGAGACATTCTTTTCTCATTAGATGCTTAAATAAACAAGGAGTGCAACTATTTATGTTTTACCGAGGAACTTTGCAATTCGGTAATGGCAGCTCTCTTTTGAATCATACATTCACCATTTCAATAGAGGAGGGACACATAAGAACAAGGGGTTTTCTTTAATGATATTAACATCCATAATACAAACAATAAGTTAAACACAGTAAAAATAATTAAATAAAGCTTGAGGTTCCAGCCCTCATACAAATAATTCAAATCTATAAAACAAAGACAAGTCAAATATAAAACTAGTGAAAAAAAAAGTAGTTTCCATATAATATCAATTAAATGAATGGAAATAAAGTTCTGACTTCTGGCATCCACAGCATTCAGCAAGGGCCAAGCCTTTACATCCTCTCCTGCCTGCATAGCTGCATGTATAGAGAGGTTGCATAACCAGACTTTCCAGACACCTTCACCTGGGATGTGGAAGTCATGTTTCCAATATGCCTTCTTATAGCACAGTTCTTAATGTATTCTTAAGAATGTGTAATGCTGACACAGCTATAGGTGTCACCCTCAAGATTTTACTACATTTGGTCTATAGCAATGAACCCTGTGCAGCAAATATCACCTTAGTCCAAGTAGACTTTAATCCTTCACATACTACTGATGATAATGCTGATGCTGCTTCTTTCACTTTCTGCTGCAAATCCTGATCACCCTCTCAGTACTGGTCTTAACAGGTTAGATTTCTAGGACTTGAGCTTTAGTATTGTTCAGTGTGCTGAGGAAAGATTTTAAACTCAGGCCCTGTATAAATTCTATACTTGAGTTAAATAAATTAAAACTGTACCAATACTTCCAGACCAAATGCTGGCTCGTAAGAGTAAGTAGATAACTTGATATGCATAATATCATGCATGGGAATACTCATTTAAATGTTAAATAATTTAGCTTCCCACTGAGTGTTTTTCAGGTAATTCAGTGTAGTTAAGATAATATATTGACCACCTCTCCACCTCAGGAACACAGATGCTAGTGGCAGACCACACAAGCATTTAAAATGAAAGCTGCTTATGACATTCAGAACATTAAGGTCCTGGCATCAGTATAGGCTTAATCTTGTTCATTTGAGTCCAGCTGTAGAAAAGTCACTTTGGTTCAGGAACAAACTGGCTCTTGGCAATTACTGCATTCATATTGGACTCAATCCAATTTAGGTATCTGGTAACTCTGGTGTAAACACCAGGCTTGTTTTTCTTTGCACAGCCATCTCCCCAGCTGACAATCCCATAAAGCATCATCCTGCCATCATATTCACAGATCATGGGGCCACCAGAATCTCCCTGACAACAGAAAAAGAACATATTAGTCCATTTTCCACAGATGGAGCCTTTTTAACAGGGAGAGTGCTATTGTTTTTCTAAGGTGAAGCAAGCTAGTAAATGCCTACAAGCTAAAGTTTTGATTTTCAGGAATGCTGCATACATGGAACAGAAGGCTCATCATCTGCTGTGACTTGAACAGGCTGTAGCATAAGGAGTTTTCTTCTAGCCCCATCCCAGCAGGGAACAGAGAAAGTAGCTACCTTGCACATAACACTTCATCCTAAGTTTATAATACCATATAATAGGCTAGTGATATAAGGTTAAAGACCACACAGCCAATTCTTTACAGATCAATTGTCCTCAAGTCCTTATGGACAGGGAAAACACATTTTTACTTGCTCATATGGCCACTCTGCCCACTAAGGGTGCAGGCGAAATAAATGTAGTATTGAGGAATCTGTGAAGGGACTTAGCATCCCCTGTAATCTACCTTTTATCCCTTTGCAGAGCTGTAGTTAGTATTAAGTGCAAGCTGAGACTGGAATAGTTGCTATATTCTTCTGATGCTTATCTATCAGCCAATTGATTTAATAGGTTGTAAATAAAGCCTTGAACAGCAACAATGGCTGAGACACCACACTTCTTGTGTCTCCAAAGGCTGTCTGAAGGGGTAACACTTAATTCTAGGTCCCAACCCTCCTCCATGTTTGGCCACACTACAGGCTGACTCCACTGAATGTTCTAAATTCCTACTACATAAAGAGACTCTTCTGACTAGTAGAATTACATATACCAGCAGCTGATGCCTATAGTGTACATGCATCCAGAATTATTTGGAAGATAAAACAAACCAGTTTTACCTTGCATGCATCAGTCTCCCACATGGGATCTCCAGCACAGACCATATTATCAGTAACTCTGATACTGTCATAGTACTCATGCTTGCATTTTCTCTGTGATATTAAGTTTACAGTGGCTGACATTAGTCTTTGAGCATAGAAGATATCATCTGCAAATAAAAAGATGACTTAATTATTTTCACCATCCAAGACAAAAAGCCCCAACCAACAACAATACCAAAACACCCCAGAACACCCACTTTCAGCTCTGAAAAGAGATTGTATAGCCATTTCATTTTCAGTTTGAGGCTCTTATTTGCAGCTTAATTTCACTGTTAATAAGTTAAAAACAAGCGAGCCAAACACAAGCTATAAGGCTTAGATTTCAGAGAAGGAGTTTGATAGTTTGTGAAGGAAGTTCTGTACAAGTGCAATCCTTCATTAATCCTCCAACACAGCTTTAATTTTTTCCTACTCCTCACCACATCAAAAATGAAAATATTGCTGTGTTTTACCTCTTGGCTTTGTATGACTGTAAGTGATCAGCATGAAATAGGAAATGCTATGGACAACCAGAGAAAACGATAGCAAAGAATCTTCAAGAGATGCACAGGGAGTATGTAGAATAATAGAAAAGAATCTTTTAATCCTTTGCAGATCATACTATAGAAGCATCTGTTCCCATATTGTGGAAGTAAAACTTTGGAAAGAAGTAATTTACTTACAAAATTCTTGTTTCCCATAGCCAGCTATTTCACACCGGGTATTGTCTGCTAAGTAAAGGTTCTTCTCTGGCAAGCAGACTGTTCTGACATATTTGGATTCTACTGCACACTGTCCAGAAGTTGTTCTTATCCTTATCAAAGCTACAAAACAAGTCAGACAGATTTGTAAAGTAATTTTTCCTCCCCATCAAATTCTCTGACAATAGGAGTATTAGATAGAGATAATGAGAATAGTTTCAATTACAGTTCTGGTTATATACGGTTCTTCTCATTGCTTTTGGAATTACAGTGGATCATTATTTGTTAACAAAATTAATTTCCCCAGCACTAGAACTGGCAAACATTCCATCTTGAACCTCCTTCCTGAAAGGACAAGGGCTGATAGCTCAGGGAAGATTCTTCTACAAGTATATCTTCAGATGTTTTAAAACCTCAGTTTCCTGTCTGGCTGTAGATGGCAGCATCTGCTGCCCTGCTGAAGAAGGGGCAGTTTATACTGTACTTCTCACCAGAAGTGAGAAGTACAGTATAAACTTAATAAATAGTCATTTTCCTTAGCAGCAGGAATTTGGAATGGGTAGTGGAGTTCCAAGTGTCAATTGCAAAAGTGCAAATTGCAACAATCTCTGACTTTGCTGGCTTAGTGATAAGCTTGTGAAAGTTAGAGAGACTTAAAGTCAGGATTAATTCTGAATAGCCTTTGACTAATGTGGTACTTGATATGGCATTTCCCTACTATATGATGAAACCTACTATGCATGCATTTTTCATTGTTGTCTATGCATAATGTGATCTCTGTAGACACAGAATAAGATACAAGTGGGACGCTGCCACCAGTGCTTATGGAAGAGCCACACTTTATACAAGTCCAGAGATAAGATAGGCTTATACTTGGCTGCATACCAAGTAATGCATCAGACAATGCAAACCAAGTTTACACAACTGAAAAAGTTGCTCTTTGCCTAAGCCTAGTTCTCAGAGATGCCTAGCTCCTGTTCCATTTCATCTTATCTCTGGTTTTACTTCTTTCAGAAAATGTATGCCACAGTTACACAGCCTTTGGCTACCTCAGTTTTTTTAAAGGCTCCTATTAAGATAACGCTTACCAATATCATTGTCATTGCCACCTGTGTCATCTGTAAAGTCAGGGTGAGAAATTATGTCATCAACCATGAACACTTGCTCCTTATCATCAGTAACATTCAGCATGGACTTTCCAAGGAAGACTTTGTAAGCAGATTTGTTTTGTGGGTTTTTTGACCTGAGTGAGAGTAAAGAGATTCATGAAGATTACCAGTTTGAGAACAAGGCCAACAGCTTAGATATAGTCCCAGTTCTGTTTCATGTTTGCTTTAACACTGACAAGAAAAAAAACAAAATTTAGTCAGCTTTGAAAGTTAATACAGTACTCTAAAGGAAAGCATACCAATTTTTAAGATGGATGTTCATCTACCTTAAAAAAAATAGGCATTTTGAAATGCACGCCTAGTTTAGCTGCCACTAATGCCAGCCACTGGTGATGAGAATCTTCTGCAAGATACGAGGAAGATCAGCTTCCCTCAAGAACAGTAAAAGCCACCCATAAATATATTGCTCAACAGCATTTCACCTCTCAGAATAGCTAAGTTCTGTGAGCAGCAAAGGTAAAACTGAAACCCTAGCTCCAGTTTTGGCTGAAGTTGTTTAAATGGCATAATCCACCAAAATGTTACTATCTTGCTATAGCGCCTTTTGCTGTACTTGGACCCCCAGAGCTTAATGTTTACACCTACTCTTTCCATTTTGATCAAAAGAGCATTCTTACTATGGTACATTTTGAAGGCTTGCTCAGTGAGCAGCATGCAAAGAAATCACCTGAAGAAAGTTGCAAATAAGGACGTGGAATGGTAAACTTACGGACTATGAAAACAGTGTGCTGCTGTAAGCACCCAGCAAGGGTCAATGAGGCTGCCACCACACAGGAAATGGTCAATGCCCCTTACGTTTTGGAAGATACCAGCTATCCAGGGCTGAGACTCAACCTCTGCCTGACTTCCACCAACAATCTTGTAGTACTTGCTCATGCTTCTTTGACCACAGGCATGCCCTGCGAAAAGAGAAATTTTGTTCAGATGTTCTTAAAACTGCACTAACCTTGTACTATTAAAAATAATAATAATCAGTTGTCTTGAAACTGATATTACTTACCACACTTTGCCATGTTGCAGGGTGTTTCCTGAATGGTGAATCCCCTTTTGGTGTAGCACCACGGTCTGTCCCTTCCATTTGGGTTTCTGGAAGAGAAAGGAAGCATTCTTTTCATAAAGACAGAATTCTAAGGTACTACCATTTTTTCAAAGAAAACTAACTGTCCTGTAAAGGCCAGAAGTGTTCTGCTGCAACATATGCCAGATAAAATTTGCAACTACCTATTAGTGTTGCATACTGGGAATTTTGCAGTATGATCAGCTTCAGTGAAAAGCAAGAACTCCAGAGAGTCACATTCCAAATATTTTTAGTAAAAATTTATTTATTTCTTTTTAAACGCATGTACCATCATGTGAGGCACTTTTGGGGCTGTGACAATAGAAGTTATCCCAGGAAGAGCAATGCTTCTCTTACCTGCAGTAGTTGTGTTTGCCCAGACCAAGCTGCAAAGCATTCCTCATATGAGCATGGTAATAACCCCTCCTGATTACTGAAGGAAGGTCCCATGGCAAGCATTCGTCTTCTGTTGCCATTCCTCTGTAATCCTGCCCATTCTCAGTGTAGCACATGCTGGTGGTGTCTGATAAAATAAGTTTTGTTATCAGCATATTCTTGTTCTTGATTTTTCTGAGGCAGAAATAATCTCTATGGAATCTTTTAATAAGAACAAGGTTAATTCATTACACTTTATTACAACAGATTAGGCAAAAATCTGGACCAGTTATATATTCTTATTAAATTTGTTCTGTAAGAATTTTGAGTATCAAGAATCTTATGCTTTAAAGCATACACATTGCTTCTTTAATGGTTTCAGTTTACTTCACAATATAATCAGTTCTTCTGCTTCTAAACAGTCCCAAACAAGTTCACTTTTTTCACCCCAAACTAAAACACTTGTGAGGTTGGCAACATTTGTGAAGAGACAGGAACAAAAGTTAAAGATACTGATTTTGCAACAGTATTAGTTATTTCTGCTCACTTCGCATAAAGCACTCAAGGATTTCCAGTTATGTGCTTATGGATAATACTTTCACTTGGCACTTTGTATTCATGATGTACCCATCTCCTTTTATCTTTTCAATCAATTTTGTGTTTAGATAGATACTCTACCTAGTTCACAATTAATCCCAGTGTATCCTTCAGGGCATATGCAACGATTAATTCCGCTAAAGAGGTAATAGGTGATACAGGTTCCTCCATTCAAACAATGGCATTCTGTTAATTAAAAGACATCACTAATTAGACAAACATTTAAATGGTGAAGTAAATTAACATATAGTTGCAAACTAAGTTTAAGTATTATTAAGAGTCTTTCCCTTACATCAAGATGTACTTGCAAGATAAGTTCTTTTTAGGTTCAAGCAGAACAGGCAGCTACTTACCCTTGTGATCTGATCTGTGTTTATATGGGAGTTTGTAGTAGTACTTCTTCCTATAAAACTAAGGGAAAAGAAAAAAAAAAAGAATTGAGGAAAGTTTTGTTTGTATGGTTTGATTATCTTCCCTACTGCATACCTGAGCAAAGCAGAATTGGGAAGGGAAAGGAAAACCCACAAAACACCTTCATAAAAGCCCCAGAAGGCTGGTGCTCTGCATCAAGTCATCACTGTAGTAATTTCTGCAATAAGGATCTAAACAGCTGATCAGTGTCCCTAGAACAGGCACAGAAGCTAGTCCCTCTCAGACACCAAGCTGTGCAGCAAAGGTGTAACATTCTCCAGCTGCCTCTGTCATTTTAGTGACCTTGGTACTTCACATTTGTGCCATGGAACAAAAGCCAGTAGATTTATAGTACGGTAGATTCTTGCCCTGCACTTCAGCTCCTGCTTCTGCTTTGCAGGCTGAATATTATATTCTCCATGGAATTAATTAAGATTATGCCTTTAGTATACTTCTCCCAGAGGTCAAGTGGGGTTGCCTGAGCTAAAACAAGTAGCAGTAACAATATAATTCCATAGCGTTGGTGAATGGCTCTGCTGATAGGTATGAACTGCCATACAAGGTGATGGTCAAATTCATATCTGTTACTCCTCTTTTAGCATCATACTTTCAAGTAGGGTAGGTGGAAATTTAGTTAAGGTCCAATACCCAGCTCCATGAAATACCACTGAATTCTTAGGACTTGGTGTCCAGATATAAATTACATTAAAAGAAAAAATAATAGCTAAATTATTGCATGAAATTTTTACTATTTAAATGCTAGCAGACATCTTAGGGTGGAGCAGAACCAGAAGAAAAACTAAAGGGTTCAAAAACGTGTTTCTTGGAGGTATATATACAGCAGATGCACATGTACAAGCAAAGGCAGTAAAACCAAAATTCAAACCAAAAGCCTGCTACATCACCCAAAGCAGAAGTATAACTAAAACCAGAAGTGGTCCCAAGTGGACACCCCCTCCACCCCCCAACATTTATTTCAAAACTTACAGACTCCAGTCCCGTGACAAGCAAGCCCAGGGCTACTGTGAGAAAGATGAGTAACTTCATGTTCTTAGTTAACGTCTCACTTCGTTCCTCTTCTATCCCTAATATTTTGATTCTGAAAATAAAAGAGGAACTTCACATCATGTCATAGCTTGCAGTGCCAGCTTTCTTGCTTCTGTTGCCTTCAGCTCATTTCAAAATAAGTCACAACGCAACTGACAGAAGAATTAAGCATTGACCTGCTGTGGAATATCTGCTTATTATTTCCATATATTAAATTAGAAGTTACCATTTGAAGCTTTTCTGCACAGTTAGCAATATAGAGAGACTTTTTGTAGAGTTTGAACGAAGCTGATAAAAGAAAAATTGAAACTTGGAAAAAAATCCATTCTCAGTTTCAGCAGTTTGGACCAACACAGTTGGAAGTTGGCAGATATATTTAGCTGCTGTCCAGCTGTTTGTACCTGTTTAACTGATTATCACCAACCATCCACATGAAGGCTATGAAAGGGAAAGCTCCTTTTTTCATTACCTCTATAGTTGCTGACTGTGCTTTGTTGATGCCCAGCACTTGCATAAGCCCAGACACCTCACCAGCTGCCTCTGGCCACTGCAAACTCTTAAGAGTCTGGTCTTGGTGTTACCTCACTTATTTACAGGATTAGAGAGGCTTGGAACATATTCTGTCTGGATCTTTTATATGCAGCTGGATCCTCTAGCCAAGCATATATAGCAGACTTCCCAGATGTGACTGTTAAAAAGAACTAGCTTTTAAAAACAGCAGGGAAAGAGAGCTATGAGTGCCAATATGTCTTCTTATCTATTTTTTAAGTTGCAATACAAGCCATGTTTGGGGGGGGGGGGGTCTTTTGGTGGTTTGTTTTTGGTTTTGTTTTTTAAGTGTCCTCAGCTCTAGAACACTAGAAAACTTGGTTTTTAAGAGATTCCATGGGAATTTTGGTTCTTTTTACATCAGCAAGCAGTGAATGCAGTAGGAGAGAGTATACAGAGACCTGCTCCACACTGCTTCAGAGGCTGCTACAGAGGCTAGTTCTAGCTTGATCCTGCAGACTGAATACCTTCTGCTGCTTGGGGCACATGTCCCAGTTGGATTTTATTTAGAAGACATACAATGCAAGTAGTCTAAAGCCACTTGGAGGGAAAGGGGGCAAGCTGGGGGGAACCAAACCACAAAGAATAGAGATCATAAGATTCACTTGAGGAAACCTGCCATGACCCAAGCCAGAATGCTAATGTAGATGGATCCTTTACTTGCAAGGAGGTTTCATAACACAAGAAAGCAGATCATGCTTCAGGACATGCACACCTTTCAGACTCTGCTGAAATTTCAGCAAGTATATTTTTCCCTAAATATTATTTATACTAAGATGATTATCTTTAGCATAGTTGGCAGCTTTGCAAGTAGTTTGCCCGTTGTTACCATAATTAGCTTCCCAGGCCCAACCCTAATATCGCAGAGAGCTGCGCTGCAAATATCTTGTGAAAACTACACTAGACAGTAGGATGCAGAGCAGATCTCCCCACTCTGAGATGCCGCATCACCTGAGAGGTTCCCCTTCTATTTAATTTAAAGAGCAACCGCTTAATTCTGTTTGTCCTTGGCCTGGCGTTTTCACCCTTAAATCCCACTCGGGTCCCAGGGACACGGCACTTACCAGCGCGGGAGCCGAGCGACGGTACAACGATGCCGGTGCGGGATTACAGGTGCTTGCGAGCGCGAAACAGTGGTGCAGGCACAGCGCGGAGCGGGCTCTATAAAGGCCAGAGCCGGAGCCGGGGCGGGCCCGCCGCTGCCGCCACCGCCCTGGGGCGGAGCCGTGCCTGCGCCCCCGCCGGGACCTGCAAGTGCCTCGGTGCCGGTGCTGCTGCAAGCACGGCAGTGCTGCAGTGACTCAAGGGGGGAATTTTAAATGCCGCTCGTTTGGTTTCGTGCGGCGGGGGAGAATGGGGAGAGCAAACAGTTTTGTTGGAAGTTATCGTTCTGCAAGGGGCTGCCCCGCGGCGGTCAGTAGTACTTAAAGGCATTAACAAAGATGCGACAGCTAGGAGAAAAATAACTTGTGTTGAAACACGTCCAGAGATACGAATAAGGGTGATGTATTTTATTCATATGGGGCCACCCATAATGAGAAAAGTACAGATGATTTAATAATTACTAGACGATTAAATTGATTGAGGTGTGGGTTAAGCACAGCCCACTGGGAGGGGGTATTGGGCCAGAATGTGTTTTCAGAGCTGCTGCCAGCTGAAACGCAGAGCATTTGGGGCTGCAGAGCATTCCTCCTGCCAGCTGGAATCTATTAGGGCACTGGGTCACAGCCGGGGCTGAACTCCTCCAAAGTTACTTACAGTGCCCTTGGCGTTGAGCAATCTTCTGCTCCCAAGAAATTGGTCATGGCTTTCCCATAATTTCTATCTTCCAAAAAAATATTCAAATGGGGTGGTTTCATAAGAGGTGGATAGAAGACTGACAGGTGTCTCTATAAGAATGCAGTTCAGTCAAATATGATTTTCACATTGTCCTGTGATGGTGTAGCAATGTAGTGAATAACAGCCAACCAGTACTCGGTATTTGTGGGTATATTCATAGACTTTAGCTTCAGGCAGTGTAGGTGATTAACTTGAGGCAGGCCTTCATAGGCCGTGTAGCTGATGAAGAGCTGTTTCTGAAGAGGCTGGACCAGGGCAGGTTTTGCCCTGTTTTTCTCTCAAGATGAATGTTTTCATAACTGGACAATTCAGAGCTTAAGGATACCACCCTTTTGTGTTTGATATCTAGCCTCACTGGTGTGAGTATGGCTTAGTTTTCTTCTTTCCTCCCCACCTTTTATCATGTAGGGATATGACAAGGGGTAACGGCTTTAAACTGAAAGAGGGTAGATTTAGATTAGATATAACGAAGAAGTTATTTACTATGAGGGTGGTGAGGCACTGGCAGAAGTTGCCCAGAGAAGTTGTGGATGCCCCATTCCTGGCAGTTTTCAAGGCCAGGATGGATGGGGCTTTGGGCAACCTGGTCTAGTGGAAGGTGTCCCTGCCCATGGCAGGGGGTGGAACTGGATGATCTTTAAGGTTCCTTCTAACACAAACCATTCTATGATTCTATTCTATTTATGTCAAGTCTGTGGTATAACCATACCTTTATTTGGGTATTGGCCATTTACATTCTCTCTTTCTGTTCAGACCTTCAAGCTCATCTCAGAACAGACCTCTGCTGAAAGCATGCTGAATTCACTTCATCGAATGGTAGGAACTGAGTCAAGAGAAACGGCCCAAGCTGGAAGACCAGAAATGAACACAGGTAAGGAACAAAGCTTTCTCAGTGACAAGATAATAATTTTTCTCTCTCTTTGTGGTGACTGAATATATCAGCATCACAAGCAATTACATCCTCTGTGAGACAGGGCAGAAAACATCAAGGTAGAATCCTCCTGGCACTCTCTTTACTTTAGAAGAATGACTGTGGAGCAAATTTACCCTAGGGAATAAATTCCAGTGGTAGGGGATAATCCAGATTTTAATAGCAGTCTGTAACATTTACGTATGAATTTTAATGCACCAACTTTACAAGTAATAAATGAAGAAATAGTCATGGTTTGATTGAACAGGGAAGAGACAAGGTGTCAGGAAGAAGATGGTTCCTCGGGGCTGGACAGCTCCTCTTTTTCTTCCTCCATGTTCCCAAGGAAGAGGTGCTAGGACATGGTCACTTCCTCGAACTCTTTCTGGAAAAAAAGTCAACCCTAGAGAATCTGGATTTCCCTTTTCACGTTTGTTGTTCCCTAAGAGGTGCTGTAGAAGTGCGAGGAACGGTCCGAACGACCAAGCTGCATAGATCTCCCCTGTTCCTCATTTTTGCCCTAAAACTTGAAGGTTTGTACTTGTTTCCCAGGTCCAAGAGCCCAAAACTTTTGTTGTCTTCACTTTACAAGGTACAGAAAGATTAAGAATCCCTTTTTCTTCTATTTGTCATACAGTTGGATTTTACTGAAATACTGTCTTACTTTATTCTCAATAATGAAATATACCTAAAAGGCCAGCAGGAGAAGTGACCTGCTCTGTGTCACATTGTTTCAGAGTGGTAACAGTTATGGATCAAAAACTCTGGCATGTTTGCAGTACCCCTTCAGTGCCACCAAATTCCTTTTTGCACCTACACAGGGAACGATTGAACTGAAACTATGGTTTAGCAGAGAGATATCCACGCTGGCTGCAAATGAGTTTACTTTGGTACTGCAAGTCATTTCACGGCAAACAAGGCTGCATGATCTCTTATGAGCATTAAGTGACTCTCAGGGAAACAGAAACTGCTGAGAGAATTTCCAGTGCCCGAGTTCACTGAGCTGGCTGATGGCTAGCACAACAAGCTCTGAAATGAGGTTTCAGGTGAAATAAACACTAGAACCCTTTTATGTGTGTGCCTTAAGGCAGAAACCTTGGAAAATCTGTAGCCTGGCACCTCTGGCAAGACCTCTGCCTGACCTCAAATCTGGACCTGCCGGCACAGGTAAAAAATGCACAGACCCAGTGGGAGGGGTGAAACAGGACCAGTTCTGTTACCAAGGGACTTCAGGGTAGCTTACCCAAGGGTAGCTTCAGGGCCAGAATCTGTTCATTACCCCATGTCTTGAGAGTTTAGAAGGGCCCTGTTGCAACACGTGTTCTCTCTCTAGAGTAAGATCACGGTAGAACAGAGGAAAAGGTCTTTGTAACTCAAAATCAAAGGTGCTTCAGAAGAACAACGAACCAAATGAAATGCCTAGGAAAAGACTCTCAATGGAACGTATTTGTCCAGTAGACACTGCTTAATGACAAGCCATGAGGCTTGTACAGACCCATGAACAATTTTTCCTTTTGAGAGCCCACTTTCTGCTTTCCACTGATTAGATCTTTTTCCTTATGCATGTCTGTGGTTTCATCACTTTGTTTCTTACCTGAATTTGGCAGAGTTGTGGGCAGGATGGAAGAGGGAAAGACTTCTGAATAAAGGAGAGGTGCTGTAGGAAGTAGTATGCATGATCTTGCAGGAGACAATTTACTTGCCTAATAGGAGCATAGCACATAAACAAGAAAAAGCAGGTCACAAAATCTAAAGTCATTCTCACATTTTTATAGTCAGGGCTGTTAAT